ACAGACAACCTCTCGTCAATATGCGTTTTTTGCATTGCATTGCTGCAAAAAACGCATAAAAAACTGTACTTATATCTACTGTCTTCAATTTAATAATCAGCAACAAATTAAGGTGTTACCTTTCGTTCCTCAATTTGTTTTCTTATAGAGCCCAAGCCCGTGCGTTGTTCCCGAGCACCGGATTCAGAATCTGAGCTAAAATCTTCCAGCAAACGTCCGCTCAACAATGAAAAAAGCATCGACTTTATTTCGAACGGCGAAACATGCAACAATTTTTGAGTTGCGTCTGCACCACCGATATTACTCAGCCGCGCCAACTCGCTAGCCAACACCTGAAATCAGCAAGACCACAGATCTGATCAAAACTTTTGAAAAGCACACCGGTCTCTCAAAAAAATCAACAAAAACAGGAAGAACGGATTAAAATTTTTTTTAAACGTACCTGAATGATCAACCCGATACGCAGCCTAAACATTTCAACAAATAAGCGTGGCTCCGTTAACACTAGCGAACCAAGACAAACTATGATTTCCTAAATAAGAGATTAAATCACAAATATACAAATTAAGATAAACTAGGATTAGAAAGGTTACATTTTAGAATACGAACTTTAGGAAGATCCCGATAAAAGCGAGGGACCAAACTGTATTACCTTATAAGAAAAACGACATTTTCTAAACTTATTATTCCCGCAAAATAACGATTTATTTATATCTATCAATTTCCACTACCTTCATCAGCTAGAAGCCAAATTTCCGAAATCTAAAACGGTGTGTATCTCTTCTTGCACGCCATTGTCGCAAACAAATATTATTAAAGTCTGGCTGTACCACAACCTACTATCAAACTCCGGCACACTGGATGCACGGTGTCAGCGAAACTTGTGATTCAACATACTTTAGCGCTACATGGAAACACATGAAGTGAAGAACAGTTCATGTGAATGAAATAGCGCAATTTCTGGGCGGACTCGAACCAACGACTTCTGAGCACTAAATCCAGCAGCAACAGCTTCGACTATATCCCTACTGAAGAACTTTTTCTTACACAGTACATTCAGATTGGCAAAAACCAACTAACACTACATTGAAACGGCCAGTTTTTATGCGATTTGTGCTGTGTAACAGCAGTACAAAACACGGGCTTGTCTGTGTGTGTGTGTGTTCACAGCAAATTGTCCGCAACTTTCAACTCGGGAACCACAACGGCTAAGAAGCTGAAAATTTAGAGGAACGTTCCCCACCCACGTGCGACCCCGCAAATTTAAATTCAGCCCGCACCCGCGGGTAACATGTACGGCCCCGTAGAAGTTTGGACGGGTGAAATTATTTTCACGGGAACCACGGGAGCCGGAAGGCTGAAACTTTATGGGCATGTCCCCCGCCCATGCGCTACCCAGAAAATTTAAATTTAGCTTTCCCCTGCCTGCCGGTAACATGTACGATCGCGTGAAAATTTTTGACGGGTAAATTATTATCTCGGGAACCATAGAGTCTAGGAAAGCTGAAATTCTAGGGTTGTGATCCCCTACCCAAGAACGATCTTGCAAATTTAAATTCAGCGTTCCCGCGCTCTCGCGTATCATCTACGGGCCAGTGAAAATTTTTGCAGGCAAACTGTTATCTTGGGAACCACAAAGTCTACAAAGCTGAAATTTTACGGCAGTGACCCTTCGCCCACGTACGACCTTACAAATTCTAGGTCGTACGTGGGCGAAGGGTCACTGCCGCAAAATTCCGCGCTCTCGGGTATCACTTAGGGCTTCATGGAAATTTTGACGGGTAAGCTATTATCTCGGGAATCACGGAAGGATATCCACCCTTCAAGGTTTCAAATTCAGCTTTCATGCGCAGGTGCATGAAATTTTTAATTATTTTTCAACGTTCCAACTATTTTTGCACAGAATAAAGCACAAAGCAGTGAAAATCATTAATAGGCAATCGTTCGGTGGGCGGATTTGCACAAAACGCATGATCGTACCGGCCAGTCTGGTGCGCGTTGCTATTTTTCATCTTCACACGTTAGCATCAACAGCCTTTTCTTTTTCTCCCCTCTCCATACTTTTGACGTTATAATTTTCATCACATTTTGCTTCTTGGAACAATTTGTAAGTAAAAAAAAAACCTGTGACAAAGTGTAGCTGTTGGCATCGTCATTGTAGGCGCGTTTCAAAATTTCATTTAACTCCTCCTTGGTTTTCGGAGAAGTAATTGCTTCTTCATTCTTTGAAGGCATACCGAGAGTGATCTGCTTCTGGCGCACAAGCAAATGGGTGACAAATTTGGATAGCTCATCAAGCTGCCGTTTTAATAGTCCCGATGTAAGGCGAATCAGTGCCCAGTCGCGAGTTTCGCAAGCCTGAATAATATCACCTCCTCAAAATATTTAACAAAATTATACAAGAATATTTATATCTCCTGCTTCTTTCTTAGTTAACTCCAAAAAGATGAAGCCATCAGCAATTCTGCACACGAATGGTTGTTTTTGGCGAACTGCTATCAACCTGAATACTTCGATATCGCCATCTTTACAGAGAGTGAAAAAGTGGACTCGATCTGAGCTTCTGATTTAAATTCAGCGTTCCCGCAACTAGTACCAAAACTGTCCCATCTCAAATACTGATCTGAACCTTTGCATTAATTTCTTCAGTGAGCGCCCTAACCGTCGATCCTTCAATATCATTCAGCTTTGTGTCGAAATCTGGTCCCCTAAAATAAAATATATATTACATCAATATGCTCAAATTCATACTTTAAAGATCACAATTAAAATCCATGGCGCAAAAAAGACCACAGAGCGAAAAGACTGCGCATGAAAGAGTTTTTAATTGCACAATCATTTAAGAAATGGTACGTATACGAGCTGACAGTTCAGATGCATTTTTTAACAAGTTAAACATAATGGCCCTGAAGCAACAAGCGATCGAAGGTACAAACTTAATCAAAGAATTATGAAGTCTTTTAAGTTGCGTAGCGATGGATTCAATACTGTGATTTTGGTTAATCAAAAGTAAAGAAAAATCATTGAAAATTCGAAAAAATAAGAACTAGTGAATCTATAATCTTCAAACCAAATTTATATCCTTTAAATAAATGTCATTTTTTTTACGCAATTGCAGAAAATAATGTGGGGAGGAAGGCATAAGAACAAAAACCAGGCCAACGAAAAGAAGAACAGGCCCACGAAAGCACTTGTCTATCGGTACCCAAACAGTGACTTTCATCTTAAAATCGAATGATACACACTGGTGCTCCTTCACAACCAAGCTAATTTTGGTGCTAGCTTAAAAAAGTAACATACATTTTCATCCATAAATAATGAACAATAGAAGCCTGCTCATCAAGAACGCTTGTCTCAGTCAACATGTCTATCAGGTCCGGTGTTGACATTTCGTCCATCTGCGCCACGTCAAGTCTGAAAATTATTTTCGGCATCGACGTGTGAAAACTGCTACAAAAGAGCGATAGGTGGCCAAAATATCAAAAACTGTTTTTAAATTGAAGCAATATTCACCAAGCAAATCGGAAAAATATCGGTAGAAACGAGGATTAAAAAATACTTTTTCTCCGAATCACCACTGGATGTACTTCTCAATGATGCCGTGGAAAGCGTTCTCACTGGCTAAAAAAAAAATTATTACTTCAAAAGGTAAAAAACTATTGGCAAAAATTCGATAAAGCAAGTATTTTTAATAAAAATTATTTAAGCCTGCAAAAAAAGTACAGTTTCATCGGCAGGGGTGCCTTTCTCTTGTACGGGCGAAAGGAGACGTTTGGAAGACGGGAGAACCGAAAGTGGCAGTCCTCCATTCGAAGTCACATTTCTGTTCTGCTCCTTTCTGGCATATGCCAACCGTAACTGGACAAGATCTGAAAAAATGAGTACGAATGCAACACACGGAAAATATGCCATGTATTTTTTAGAATATGTGTAAATTCAGCCATCGAAACATCCGAATATTTCTGCGTGATACCAAGGTCACAAGCGGCGTTTTGGACTAAGCTTGGCTGCCCTTTGCTGATACTTCGGTTAGCTGCTACTAAAGAGCTGTAAAGTCTTCCGTCACCAAGGCGGCTGTTAAACATTTGATTCTGATACGGCCGCAACTAAACAATCGGATGTACCATTCCAGTTCAGTGGCCGTCTTCCCGCATAACTTAACATTGCTTGGGTACAGCATCCAACAACGATCTGGTCTGCCATCGACTAACTGCTCAAGCAAGGCACATGAACAGTTCAGTTCTTCCCTAGGTGTTCGGCGCTAACAAGTCTTTCAAGCTGCACTTCATCAACGATATGACATAATTTTGCCTACGAAGTCATCCAAATATCCTCATTTCAATCCGATTAAAAATGAACGAATGTGCATTTGCGAAGCAAAACATTCACTATCGTTAAAAGAAAGATCAGATATGTACGATTCACGAAGCAGAAAAAAACCCGCCTAATGTCACACTTTAATTGGTACTAGTCTATAAATATTCTAGCTAAACTTGGAAAGAACATAATTCATGATGAATTTGTTCATATTACACGCTGTTCAGCAAATACCACGGCAAGCACGATGGCATTAAAAAGATTGAGAAAACGGCGAGGAGTGATAAAGCAAGATTGAATTTGAGAAACTCTGATTCAAAAGGAATGGAAAACTTACAGCAGGAAATAAGCGGGACCTGAACTCTTGGGTTTCGATGATAAAATCAATAAAATTCGACAGGACCACTGGACATTTTAAGAAAAATCCAACGGTCTTTAAAAAGCGCATTCTTCAGACGCAATATAAATCAGCTTAGCGACCGCGGAAACAGCATAATCATGCCAAAAGAAAAACCGGCGCGACCAATTCGCAAAAAAAAAAAAAAAAAAAACGGAAAAAATTCAATTATTTCAAACTGGTCAGGCGAAAAAGGAAAAAATCTTACCTTGGTCATTACTGTCGATCATGATGCTACGATGTCGCATTGATGCTTTATGTACAATGCTAAACTGCTCAGTACGATTTTTCATCGCTGACTGCTGATAGCTACGTGACGTCGGAACAACTAAATTGCGTGGTATGAACGCATGAATAAAAAAGCAATATTTTGAAAAACTGGCCAGTCATTTACTTTGCAGCAATATGCAGTCCCCGTATTCATAGTTTTTTTTTGAATTTGTTATCAGTTTTCATGTACCAGAATAACAAAATCGAACAAACTACCGGCAAGAGCATTTTTAGGTCCTTACTTGGTCCTTGACTGTAGTAGCGGAAGACGGGGAAGAATGCTAGCACTTTATCTTCCAACAAAGAGCTTCGCTTCGAATAAAATGAGGAGCAAAAACGATGAATCGGGGAGCCGCACAAGCTATTCAGCAGGAGGGCGCTGGTGGTTTGAGGCCGGCAGCTAGTAGCGTTAGTTGTGGTAGACGTAGCGGACCAATGGTGCGTGTTGATTCCCAAAACTAAGAGACCGGGTTTTAGGAAGGGGCTTATATGGGGAAAATTAATGGAAGGAAAAGGAGGGCAAGGTAGTTAGTGAGTGAGAAGGTAGGTAACATGGAATTATTTAGAATTTGGTGAAACTGTTAAAAATCAGTGAGTGGGGGAAGTAGGTCGAAGTGTCAAGAATTAGTGAGAGAGAATAGGTGGAATTATAAGGTTACAGCATCACATGTTAATGATGTGATGTGCTGGAATGCTTTCGTATATCTGTGCCAGGCCATTCGATCTTAAGCTGCATATCTGTAGCTGGCACTCAAATAAACAGTACGGTGAGAATTTTTCGAATTTCGTGCTTTTTGGATCTAATAACTTCGGTAATTGTTTGAGAGGTTGCGCATCATGCCCCGCTGATAAAGAGAAAGGCCCGCTGCTTAGTGGAGCAGAATGCTTGCAAATGATGTATGCACTGTTGTCGGATTTTCTACTGTCTGTTTGGCCGGTAATCTGACGTCTGTCTTCATTTTTGAGTGCAACATTCAAGAAAGCTTTTACGTCTGTAAGCCGAAAAAGGAGCGTGAGGATGCGTCAGATGCAACAGTATGAAACTGATGTGCTGAAAAAAGTAAAGGCAACCACAACAGATTCCATAAAGGCATGTCCTTAATAAATTTAAAGCTCAAAAATTACAAAAATTTAATTAAGATTTTTGTAATTAGAAAGATTACCTAATTTCCAAAAATAAAAAGATTACTTAATTTCAAATCGTCGGAGGTTGCAGATGGCAAACTTCGATGTAACCCTTCTTCTTCTACTTCCGATATCATTAAATCCTCAGCATCTTGTCCGTGGAATTCCAACTTGCTAACAGCTGTTGTTCGGAAAAAATCGGATATATTTTTCATTACCACGCTGAAAAGTACCATTATCTAAGCCCTGAGCGAGTTTCGCTTATACTAAGAGTCACTAACAGAAGGAAGAGCATACCGTGCGCCACCGATATAGCCTGTCGCGATTTTCTTGATTGTTCCAACAACCGATGCTTTCATGTGCAGAGTGGTGAAGGCACTTTTGCTTAGTGATATATCCTACAAAAATCTCAATTTGCATGCATATGGAACATTGGCAGTACAAAGTTTTGAGGCAAAAGCTGCTGGACAACTGCTGAGAAAACGAAGAATCAAGCTTCCAAACAGAAAAACACGAGCGCAACGCTGACTGTGATGATGTAGACAAGTGAGAAAGAAAGGAAAACTCACAAAAAAAAAAAAATCAGGCAACAGTACAACAACCTCATTTGTCAATACAAATGCATAAACTTTCAATAGTAATTCGTGTGATGAAGATGGCAGTGCTAATCTATGAAATAAATGTGTGCCGGCGTGAAAATATATAGAAAAATTTCATTTTGAGGATGGAAACGCAGACAGACTTAATGTACACTTGCTCCATTCCACTTCTTAGGCCCCATTTAAAATCAAACGAGTTGATCCAGGAAACGCTTATCACAGTAAACAAAGAAACTAACTGCTTCAAGCATATTTTTGGCAACGATTAGTACAATCAGTGGTCGACCCGAGACACACGTATTGCTCCAACTGCTGTATATGTATTGAAGCACTGAACTCCATTCATTCATCAGTATCCGAATATCATACATCAAATAAGACCGTCTTCGGTCCATGAACTGGAAAAACGGCATTTCTAACAGAAACAAAGAAAAAGTTGTCTTTTTCGCTGCCCCACGAACTGCAAAAAATAAAGGTGTCGCAAAGTAAATTAATGAAAATTTGTCTTGATTTTGTTACCTGCGGCGTAAAAATCACGAACTTCTGGCCAAGCTGGTAAAGTTTACTGGTACTAAGTACTCCAACATCTCTATCCAACGGACGGCCTGTAAGCCTTAATTTTTCAGATTCGCCCAATCTGAAAGGCACAAAATGTAAAAAAAGGATGAACCAAAGAAAGAAAAGTACGTTATGTTATCAAAGCAACATACCTTGACAAGATTTTAGCGAAAGTAGAAGCTGGATGGATGCTAAATACCTCATCAATTTCACCGATATTCTGCACATCGATACCATGTGACAACAATTCCTGCTGAACTTCGTACGTTTCGGCAAGAACTGCTACTAGAACAGACTGAAATTATGCACCCAAAAAAGAAGTTACAACAGAAAAATCAAGCAAACCGCAAAACTCACCCTGGACTTCGCAAGGAGGACGTCTTTCATATGCAGCTAGCCGTCTGCTCAATGGGTCCAATTCAGCGGGTGTCAGGAAACCTTCATAGAGCAAACAACAAATAATATATAGAGCCTGTGCCCACAAGAACGGTCTAAATGTGTGATTCGTTAGCTATAAATCTCGTAAAATTAGCAATAACGGGAAGAATTCACAAAACACGAATCAGTGAATGTTAGTTATATTACCCACATCTCCTGACCCTGCACATCGTTGTGGCTCGGGAAGGGTAATGAAAAAGGCAACACTAGAAGCAAGGCAAAATAAAAATTTAAGTAACGCAGAGCAAGCCCTATCGTACTGTGTTACGCTAAGCCTGAGTAATATGAAGAAGTATCATCTACACTGCTGGGTAGTAATTCAGTGAACTGCTGTGCAGCAAAAGTGGTAATTTGTATCGAAAAAATTTTTATGGGATGGGTTGTTCACTGTGTGGATCGCTGTGTGGCGTGGTGAGTAGACTAGAGGGACAATTAGGGAATGAAAAGCTTTATGTCTTACTTGTTACGACACAGGCGATGGCAATAATAACACAGAGCGTGACGCTTGGACTCTGACGATAGGGATGGCCTGCTGGGCAAGGGATTTAGCAAGAGGGTTTTTGAGAGGTCGAATAATCTTGGCTTTGAGACGAAGAGGTCCAAGTCTCAGTAGTAAACGGACTGTGCCGGCGGGAGACGTAACTGACAAGGTTAATGAGGCTGAAGCGGTTGAAGAAACTGAGGCCTAGAGGAAAGGTAAGCAGGTTTATAAAGAGCGTTAGGGCCCGCCCCTTGGGATGATGTAATGATTTGGAGGAAATTTTAGGAATTTAGGGAAGAGGGGGATAAAGAAAGAGGGGTGGGGGGAGGGGAGG